TGCTCTCTTTGCACACAGACCTGCCCACCTGTCTGCACACACACCTGCACTGCGCCCAGCTGGGACTCAGCCTCCCTGAAGACACTGCTGAGATCCATGTAACTGATAAACAGCCTTCTGTGTTAGGACATCTTTTATTCAGCGAGCTGCAACATATAGTGATGCTTGTAGGGAACAGACTGCTGAGAATCTCATGCCAAAGGAAGCCAAATCTTCCTATTTATGACATGGTGACATCAATAAATAACTCCAGCAGGCAAATTTGGCCGATGGCAAATGGCTTCAGCCTGTGGGGTACAAGATGAAATCCAGCTGAAATCTGTAATGAAGTCATAATGGTCCCATCAAGTCTCCTATAACTTTTATAAGTTTGGGAACGTCAGTCTGCTCCCTGGAGAGGACCTGGTTTCCCTGCAATGGGCTGATGCAGATGGAGGTGGGGAAGAACCAAAACATGAGATGGCTCCTTTGGCCCTTATGCAGTTGCTCACTTATGGAGCAGGGACAGGAGCCATGGCACCACTGTCCTCCCAGTATCACCTTAGGGATGGGTGAAGTGATGGGGCCAGTTCACAGCATCACTTCATTTGTGGGAAAGGAGGAAGGTTAAATGTTTTCATAGTGTCTTCAAAACCCTTCAAATCTCTCTAACCCAAGTACCTCCACAGAACAGTGTTTTCTGCCTTCCCTCACGGAAAGATTTTGTTAATATTTGGTCAATGAAGAAAACATAGCAGCTGTTAGCATCATTTTCCTCTTGAAGAACATTGTCCTCAGGTAAAACAAAACACAATTAAGATACTAGCAAGGTCAGTTATATGAGACAATCCATATCCTCATAATGCAGATATTTCCTTCAATGTCTGTCACCAGCATCAAATCCCCAACTGCAGCAGGATAATTGGCAGCCCTGTTCTAGGGGAAAGATGAAATGGTTTGTGTTGCCACCAAAACCAGCCTGGATTTTGTTTAAGTGCTGGAGCCTGGGGGTGGTATCGCTCATCTAGCTGTACTGCTGGAGAGTCATGTATCAAGGACAGGCTTCTGAGGCAGCTCCTGTCTCCCTCCTATTTACTGCTCCATTAATTACAAACCAGATGTCAGGGCAAGATTTAAAAGTCAACTTTATTTGAAATCCTGCAATATAAAAAAACTCAACCACAACAATTTTTTTTTTTTTTTGTGGTGGGGAGGGGAAACATGAAGGAGAGAAGGGTTCTTTAATCCTTTGCTTATAGTTGTTCTCTATTTTATTTTTAACTCTTATTTTTTAAAAAGTTGTGGTTATTTTTTCTTTTACTGAGTGGCAAAAGGAATTTCTCTTTTTCTTTCTGTCCCCTCAGCCCCCAGAAGAGTTTTTAGGGTTTTCTCTGGGAACCAGACCTCACTTAAGACCTTCTCTCTGCCAGCTGGCATTTCTGTCATACATTCCTCTTGCTGTTTATGCCCCAAGACTGTTCAGAAATATAAATGCAGCTGCCCACTTGCTTGACAATGTTTTATTTGTGAACCATGGAGGTGTAGACCTCTTCTTCAGTGTCTGCACAGGTTTCCAGGTGTCCTGGAGCTGCTGGAGACATGGCTGGGGCTGAAAGCAGTGCTATCCCTACTGCACAGCCAGAGATGAGAGTGTCCAGACAGCTGGGATGTACAAGGAGCTGGATGACAAGCTTCTAGTGTCAAACTCTGGAGCACCCTGGGCAATCAGAGGAGCATCCTCCAGAGTCACATAATCACGGAATTGATCATATTGAAAAAGACCTTTAAGAGTTCAACCATTAACCCAGCACAGACAAGCCCACCACTAAACCATGTCCCTAAAAGAAGGCAGAAACAGGGAAAGGTATCTAGAGGAATCTGAAGATTGTTCTCACTTTGGAAGGTCCCAAAGATGTTGGCCCAGCCATCACTGAATCTGATTGCTGAATCTTGGCAAGGCTTGAATGGGTCCCTGAGGCTTATGTTAGCAGCACAGTTATGAACAAGGCTAAAAATCCCCCCATATAAAATGAGAAACTTTGGCAAAAAGGGAGGCAGAGCAATGCTGTACTACTCTTGTTTCCATTCCCTAGCACAACAGCATTCATCCTCAACCAGGGAGGAGGGAATGGACTGAGGAAGCAAAGGATGCAAGACAAGGAACTAGTTCCTCTTGTTTTCACCCTGCCAGTCCCCCACCAGCTACTGCATTTTCCGAGTAGAAGTTTGATTTCCTATTTACTGTGGGATTAACCCTTTGGTTAATCTCAGATGATATAAGGATGACTCTGGTGTAAGCAGCCAACGTGTTTAATCAAGGCCAACCTGATTTTAGCAGACTGTAGGGAACACAGTGTAAGGACAGGAGCAATAACATCATTCAGCTGCTTCTTAGAAAAGCTTTGACCTTAAATAAAATTTCCCTGTAGTAGTGTGTTCAGGAGGGTGTAGTGCTGCACTCTCAGCCAGGTGACGGGACTAATGAAATGTAATAAGACAGTGAAAAAATAAAAATCCAGCAAATTTACAGAGGATTTAGAGGTGTGTCCACAACACTGTTAGCTACTATTATAAATTTTCTGAATTTTCTAACCATAAAATTTTTGGTAGGAGTAAAGGAGGAGGGCAAGAAGATAAACCCATATAACAGTTTGGAAAGCTTAGAAGCTGTGAGAGTTGGGTGCAATGACAGTCACTACAGTTACCTTCTCTTGTAAATGTGGGAGGGGAAATAATCTGTAATCACAGAATAATTGTGACCCTTCCAAGTGGGAGCCAGGGCACTGGGAGTTTGTACTGGAGCAGACACAGCCTAGGAAAAACAGCATATTTATTGAGAGAAATAAGTCACAAGGTGGCTGAACCAGCTTGAACCCCCAAGCAATTTTGCCGGTGCATTTGTCAGATAGATGTCTGTGGGCATTGGCACCTGCTGCAGCAAGAGCGAGGTGAGGTGATGGGTTCTATAGTTTGATCATAAACTGGAGGCAAGTGTAGAAAGCTACAAGAGGGCTGTGCTGGAGGGCACTGTGAGCAAGGGGGAGGCACACACAGGCACCAGGTCACAGGGAAGAGCCAAGAAGCACCATAGGCAGGACATCAGCCAGGGAGATGGAGCAGCTACTCCAGACCTGTGACTGCAGGTTACTCCCCAGGCCTTGCCATGATGTCTGGGCCGTGTCAGACGGTGACACTGGGGGCCTGGAGAAATTTCCTGATGCAACTCCAATCTGCATCTTTTACTGGAAAAAGGTTTGGAGTTTCAGTAATCACTCAATACATGTGCTTTCCAACTGGTACTCTACCTGCAGCTACTCCTGTGCTGGAAGAGGCATTGTAGGATTCCTCCGCTCTTAGGACTGGAAACTGAACTGGACATTCCAGAACTGGACATTCCTACCACAGACTATTTTTGCAATGTGACAAAAGCAAATGAAGCATTAATGGGAATATTGTTTACAAGGGAAAACTGAAAGAACTATTTACATGTTGCTTGGAGGAGCAGTGGATCTGTAACCGGAGATCCAGTTATTTATTCAGTGAGAAATATAGATGGGAAGTCCAGTTACAAGAGTAAAAAAATTCTGTGTAAAAATCAAGCAGCCAGTCAATGGAGTGACCTAACTGCATGAAAGCATGGCTCATTGGTCCCAGTGACAGTGGTTCGTACTAACAAAGGGTGATCTCTACCTGTGGAGAATATAATCTAATCTGAGATTCAGTACAACCATGAAAATGGAGGAAAATGGGAGAGGAGAGTAATGTAAAACATGATTAAGACTTTGCTAAGCAAATATAATTGAAGCACTTACACAGAGAAGTGGTTTGAGAGAGTGTTTTGAGCAAGTGGGAGGAATTCTCGTCTTGCATGAAGGCTTCACATCTTTCTGCCACTTCTGGAAAGCCCCTCGAACCAGAGGTGCTATTTCTCTTTTTCTCCTGGTGCTCTCTGCTTCCTCCTGCTAGGAGTGAGTCCTACCCTGCTAAGGGCTGTCTGTCCCTAGTCAGGGGGAGAGCCGCAGTCATTCCCAATGGCACGCCATCTCGTGTATACTGCGGGCAGCGGGTCTGGCTGGGACAGCATCGTCCTGCGCCAAGCCAGGCTCGGGAGCAGGGGCGGTCCAACGCGAGATGCTGGCACCGCGCGGGGGGGCCGGAGGGGCTGCTGAGACCCCTCTGCCAGTGCGCTTGATTCCCCCAAAAAGGCGACTAGTGCTTTAGCAAACACGACTCCTGCCTTGCTCCAGGGGCGCACCAGCTGCCACCAGGCTCACGGCACCCGCGAACGGGCCGGGAGTTGCATCGGGGCGGGATGGGGGGAGGTTCGGGCGCTTTTGCAGTTTGCTGTACCACACCTCAGCCTTGCCTCCCCTGGGCTCGGGAGGCTGCCCGGTGGGGCTGCCAAGGGACCAGTCATGGCCACTACGCAGAGCCGTGATTTAGCATTTTACGCGGCGGTGGCAGCCCGGCAGCCCCGCTCTTGCACTGGGAGCTCACCGCAATACCGGAGCTTTCTGGCTACTTCTGGGAAAACTCCTGATGTGGCTGTGCAGAAGAACGGGGCCAGTTCCTAGCTCTGTCTCGCTTCAGCAGAAGGATGTGCGGGGCGGTCCGTGCGGCCCCGGCAGCGGATGAAGGCACCGGCACGAACACCCACGACAGACGCTCCTGCTCGAGCTCCGTCCGGCCCCTCGGCCGAGGCGGCAGCGCCGTGACCCAGCTCGGGGTCTCTCCCATCTCGGAGCCATTCCCGGCCCCACGCCTCTCTCAGTCTCGCAGGGAGCCGGGGTGCGCTCCCCGAGACACCGCGCCCGTCCCCGCAGCCCGAGCGCGCCCGCCCGGCGGCGGGAGCCCCGGCCCGCTCCGGCCGCCGCCGCCCCCCGCCGCCAGCGCCGGCCCCAACTCCTCATTGGCCGCCGCCGCCGGAGGGAGGATGACGCCCGGGCGGGAGCGGGCGCCGGGGGTATAAAGGCCGGGCGGTCTGGCCGTGCCGCGCTCCCGCTGTCCCGCACCGCCCCGCCATGCCGCGCGGCTTCCTCGTCAAGCGCAGCCGGAGACCCGGCGGCTCCTACCGGGCACGCCCGCGGGAGCGGGACCCTGACCGGGACCCTCCGCCCACCCCACCGCCGCCGCCCGCCGGCGGAGACAGCCCCGCCGCTAGACAGGGAGCGGAGGAGGAGAAGGGTGAGGAGGAGGAGGGAGCCGTCGCCGCTTGTCCCGCGACGTGGCCCCCCGGCGGCGGCTGCGGCGGCCCCGGGCTCACCCCGCCGGAGGCTCCGGCCGCCTGGGGGGCGACGGGGCCGTGCAGCGCGGCGGGGCCGCGGGCGGCTCTCTTCGAGCGGTGCCTCAGCTCCCCCGCCTCCGCCGAGTCCTTCCCCCTGGCCGCGTCCTTCCCGCCCGCCGAGAAGCTGCTGCTGCAGCCGCGCACGCCGCTGCCCGCCCCGCCGCTGCCGTCGGTGCCCGCGCTGAAGCGGCCGTCTCGGGCCAAGGCGCCGGCCAAGAAGGGCAAGGCCACGCGGAAGCTGAGCTTCGCCGACGAGGTGACCACTTCGCCCGTGCTGGGGCTGCGCATCAAAGAGGAAGGGCCCGAGGGCCGGCCGGGGCCGCCGGCGGGGCGCACGCCGCTGGGCGAGTTCATCTGCCAGCTGTGCAAAGAGCAGTACGCGGACCCGCTGGCGCTGGCCCAGCACCGCTGCTCCCGCATCGTGCGCGTCGAGTACCGCTGCCCCGAGTGCCACAAGATCTTCAGTTGTCCCGCCAACCTGGCCTCGCACCGCCGCTGGCACAAGCCGCGTCCCGGCCCCAGCCCCGAAGGCGCCGCCTCGGCCCCGCCGGGCAAGGAGAACAGCCCCGAGCGGCGGCCCCGCGGCGCCCTCGGCTCCAGTCCCGGCCCAGCTCACGGCGGCGCTCCCGGTCCGGGCGGCGGCCCCGGCGGGGAGGCGTTCGCCTGCCCCTGCTGCCAAAAGCGGTTCCGGCGGCAGGCTTACCTCCGCAAGCACCTGGGCACCCACGGGGCAGCGCGGCCTGCCGCCTTCGGCCCGCCGGAGCGAGGGCCCCTCACCTTCGCCTGCCACCTCTGCGGCGCCCGCTTCCCCTCGGCGGACATCAGGGACAAGCACCGGCTGTGGCACGCCGTGCGGGAGGAGCTGCTGCTGCCGCCGCCGCCGCCCGCCGGGGTCCCCGAGAGCGGCGCGGCGGGCGGCGAGCGGCAGGGCTTCCCCTGCAAACACTGCCCCGCCACCTTCTTCAGCGCGCCCGGGCTGGCGCGGCACGCCAGCAAGTGCCACCCGCCGGAGAGCAGGCAGGTCCTGCTGCTCCAGGTGCCCCTCCGGCCGGGCTGCTAGGCCCGCGGCCGCCCCGGTGGGACTGCTCCGAGAGCCCGGGCTAGCCGAGCGAGCCCTGGCCACGCTGTAATTCCTATGGAAAGTCGCGGCTCTCACGGCTACGACGTCGGCGGAGCCGCTCGGTGACTCCGGGCCGGTGGGCAGCGAGGCGCGCCCGCGCCGGCACGGCGGCGTGTTCGGCCCACGGGCCGCACTGCCGGCAGCGCTCACGCCGAGCCCCGCCGTGCAGGGAGCGCCGCGCAGCTCCCCAGCCATCGGGGCGGCCGGGGACGGGGGACGGCCGCCGGCACGGCAACAGGCGACAAGCCCCGCCAGCATCTGCCGGGAGGCGGGCAGTGCCGAGGCGTCGGGTGGCGGCCCACCGCCAGTACATCTTCCGTAGCGACGGAGAGAAGTACGGCTGTATATAGGGTACCTAAAGAGAGGAATTATTTTTCGTGAGAAAAGGAGCCTGATCTAGTGACCTTGTTTTAATAGCCTTAGCCCCCGAGCTTCAACATTCGTGGTGTACTCTGTACTAAGGTAGCTGAGAAGGTAAATGTTCATATTAAGTCAGTGTCAAGTCACATAATAGCTAGCAAAACGTATGGGAAATTAATCGTGCTGTCTGCTTAATTGAAATACGAGGTGTTGATCTTCTGTAGCTAAGTACGCATCTCCTGCTTACTCTGTGTCTCTGTCCTCTAGCAACAGTGTGGTAGGCAAAACACCCGTGTCTGGCAGCTGCCCCTTCCAAAAGCTGCTCCGCCCCGTCAGTCGTTTGTTGGTGCGGCACGGACAGCAGCCGCACGGGCAGTTCGCTCCCGCCAGGCCGGTGGGCAGCGTGCGGCCCTGCCGGCCCGGCATCGCAGGCAGGCGGAAAGCGCCTCGCCTCTTCAGGCGGCCTCCGACCTCTCCCCCTGTGAGCTGCGCTTTTGATGTGAGCTCCTCCGAGTCTTGTGAACAGCTGAAATTAGGACTTGAAGCAGTCTTTGGACATGTTGCTAAAGCGCAGGTGATAGGCTACCTTCCTTCTCCCTAACGACACCTACCTTTAGCAAAGCAACCCGCGGTGTGTGTTCCCCGGCTTTGACAGTGCTCTGGCCAAATGCTTTGAAATGCTGTTGAATTGACCAGCTACTGACACTTCAGCCAGTATTTGTTTGTTTATTTATTTACTTATTTATTTTTTCCATGAGTGCTCGTTTCTAAATGTGGTAGCAGATGAGGGTAAAAATAAGGGCAAGATAATTCAATAAAAGATTTAAAAGAAAGCTCATGCCTTTCTTGAATTCAGCAGGGCAAAGTGGGTCAGCTGGTGACTTCTGAAGAACCAAATTGATCCCAGTTGTAGTCTTTGTTCTAACACTCTCTCTGACATGAGCATGTAAAATATTTCAATCTCTCGATTAGCATCTCTAAAGCAATTATTTCTGTAGTTTTATATTTTGCTACACACAACAAAAGATGTATCATGCCCAAAGGCTGCAAGCAAGCGATAAGTGCTTTATGTTAAATGTGCTTTGCGGACTTTTGTCATTTTAGTTCCAGAACCTGGACAAATGAATTAATACAATATAACCTAATGCGGCCAAGATTTGCTTTCCAGCAAAGGAGGCTAAACTTGCAACTCACTAATATGCCAAAAATAAAGCATGTTAATTTAAGTTGTGCATTTTTCTGTCATTTGTTGGCAACAGACTTAGGTAAAAATGTCTGTTTATGCAATTAAATGAGTTTGCCCCTGGAGAAAGTCACTAGTTTTTTGTTTTTTTAAATCATGGTTCCTCTTTCTCTCCTTGTGTAGTCAAAGATGACTGGCTCCAGACCATGCAAATGTGATGATTATTAACTGCTCCTACAATTAGCACTTGAACGACCAGACTGCCACAGGGAACAGCCTATGCTTTGTATTACCTGGAGAGCTACATGCAATGTATTTACTGGATCCAGGGAAGTTTTCATTTGGGCATTCTTGAGACCTTGTGTGTACTTTTTAATACAAAGGAAAACGAAGCTATGTATTGCATTTAACTGCTCCATGTGCATGTAATACACAATTCTTCTATAAATTGGACTAAGAATCTAATCAGTGAGGTGAATAACTAATATACAAAAGGTGGTAAGAATAATTTTATTGGATTATTAAATAGCATGTCTTCTCTTCAACCATTACAAATTTGTAGATACTACATGAATGACAATACATAATTTCTTTTTTTATTGTTGCCCATATATTTACACATGCAGTTAGTACCGATGCCATGCTACATTTTGTTAACAGCATTTTGTTGTTTACTAGACTCAAAATGTGAGCATTTAATTTTCTGTAGGAAAATACCTCTGGGTGGGTGGAACTCGTGTACTAATCTGCGCTCACAAGGCTGAAATTATTAAATTATTAGCATTTCAGGCCAGGCTCCCGGAGCATGTTCCCTTTTCTCTCCTAGTACTCATCATCACAGCAATGAATTGCTATCAGGAAAGTGTTTGTTTGGTTTGTTTTGTTTTTTTTTTTTAAATGTAAGAAAAAAGAATATACATCTAGATGAAACACCATAATGATAATGGCTAAAACTCATGAAACTCAATGGCATTTACTATTGACACCACTTGGAAAAGCAAATATAAAAATATTTGGAAGCCGAGCATAAATAGAATTTCAAGACAGTGATTTTTTTTTCTGGCATAGATTATCTGCAGAATTATGAAATGATACATCGTTTTATGATGAAAGGGTGCTATGAGCAAATTATTTCATTTGGATTCTGTGATACTTGAAATGCCATTGAACTATTTTATTCTCAACATAAATAATCTGTACACATCTTGTGCATTAACATTGTGACATTTGACAAAGACTTTACAAATGCAACTTCAATTTAAAATTGTACATTCATTTTCAAATTGTACATACTTCTTTCTTTGTTACAGAGAAAATTGCAATGGGGCACAATAAATATAGTGTAATCCAACTGCAGTCTCCATTTCCGTGTTGACTCAAGATCAACCAGAGTTAAAACCCAAAGTTAATCATCCATAATCATCCAAGTAGGTAAAAGGTGCAGGGTACAAACTGCACTGCAGAGAAAAAAAACCGGCAGACCGGAGTTTGATAAAAAAAGACAAAGCAAAATTATTAAAGTAAAATTCCAGTGTCACTGTTTAAAATAAACATACAGAAAAGGAGTATGCAGGGCATGGGTGCACACACATGAGAGACATTATCCTTGAATGAACAGCGTGAGCAGTACGAAAACCCAAAACGCGGTGAGTCGCTGCGGGAAGGGTGGCCAGTGCTCTTCACTAGAAAGCTGCAGGCATCTTGCCACTTAGGACTTGTTGGCTGAGCCAGAGGAGCGGCGCAGTTTCATGGACATGCGGCTCTTGCTAGTCCGAGGAGACATTGGAGAGGCTAAGTCTGTTCCATCCACCTGTGCTGTTGCTGCTGCTGGAGTTTCTCCCGGCTGAGTCTCTGGGCAGAAGCCTGCAGAGGACAGCAAGAACCAGACGCGTCAGTGCCGCCTTCCACACTCGCAGCATGGGATCTCTTAGCAAGGGGCAGACAGGAATTTCAGTGCTGCTGTCACTGCCACAGCATCTCCTAGGCCTTTATCAGCTGTGGGTGATGGTATTGCTCATGGAATTAACAACTGCCACAAATCCACCCCTACAGAAAAGATGATTCCAGAAACCACTGAGCTATGGGACTGCAGAACCCCCTCGCTCTGAGCAATTGAGGCAGCACTGAAGTGGGCAATGTTCTCCTGCTAACCAGGAAAACAAACAGCTCCAGTTCCCTTGCAGGGATGGGGAATCATTAGTCAAACCACAACCCAGAAGAATCCAGTCTTTAATGAGAACATGAAGGTTAACAGCTCATTGCACATGAAGGGAGCTCTAGGAATGCTGCTGAAGAGGTGGAGTGAATTGAGGGCCAACTGAGAGAGCAAAACATCTTCTCCCATACCAACTTTAGTTTGTGCTTCAAAAGCAAATTCCTATAGGGCCCACAAGGCAGAAGCTTGAACAGATTGTACTAACTGGATGCACTATATGTTAACGTTTCTTTGTAAAAGGAACAAGATGAATTTGAGACAATGATATGTAATTCATTAGCCCAGTGCCCAGAGCTATGCTCCACTTGGCCCCAGAGTCCTCACTGCAGAGTCCTCCTACAAACAGCCTGTCTCCAAATCTTCTTCCATAGATGTACAAAAGGAAAAGGAGAAAATATGAAATCAAAATTACACTCTCCTTCCCATGCTATAGAAAATTAATACTATGAACTCCCATCCATAAAACTAAACTGCGTTTTCATTAGCCATTTACAGCCACGGACAGTGTGATTGAACTCAACTACCACAGTTGCCTCTGAAGGCTTCTAACCCATATAATTTAGAGACAGAAGCCTGGTCCTGCAGGTGTCAATGGGGAAACCCCTGCAGACTGCAGTAAGCCAGAAATCACTTGCTATTTCTTCCACATCATGCTATTACTGGTAATTCTTTAAAATAATAATGCAATAATCAGAACTGAAGATCTCTCTGCCTCAGTATACATTTCACATACAAAGGACGCAAAAATCATTCAAAACTGGTCATGATTTATCTTGAAAGATTCTGCTAAAATCAAATGAGGTCATAAGGTGAGAAATCTAGGAGCAAATTTAAAAGATTGTCATAAACCTGTGGTATTTAGCAATCTGTCTGTTCTTGCCTGGTACCTCACCTGCCTGCTCCAGAGCAAGAGCATGGTACTTTCTATCTTCAAACTGACACGACCCATCAGAGTGACAGGGGAGAGAAAGGGCTGTTATTTGTTCCCCAGCTGGTGACAGTAATTTTGTTCATGAACTAGGTACTTCACTGCCAAACAATCTGGAAAAGCATGATAATGCCTGACTCACTGTGCCTTATAGAAAAAGGCAAGCAGGGAAACATGCATTCACATTTTCTGAAATTCTATCTTGTTCTGATTTTACAAGAAATTAAAGCATTTCAAATGGTGGAAATTAGAGAATAGAAAATAACCGTTGTTGTTTTGCACAGCATACCATTCACAGCTAGCGTGAAAGACCTTCCGTTTCAAGCCTTTGCCCTTTACCTTGATGTGGCCAATGCTTTCTAGTGGAGGTTTTGGAAGGAGAAGAAATATCACAGCATTTCTTTCTTTGTTGAGAATGAAGAAGTGATGAGGAAGGAGGAGTGGAAAGAAGTGAGGAAGGGGGAGGAGAAAAGATAAAAGATAACAGGTGTGAGACATGAGACACGAACCGCAGAGATTGAAGGGTATTAACAGATGAGCACAGAAAACGGAATTTCGAATTTCATTATGCAATTGCTGCTCATGCTACAGGTTAAAGAGAGTGATGAGTTAGTTATGTGCAATGAAGCAACAGCTCTGAAATACGGCATCATACTTACCAACTAAGCATTACAAGAAAAAAAAGGAAGGGAGAGAGAAAGAAAAGAATTCTATAACATTATCCAGATCCAACAACCTTATTAATAGCAATTGAGATACATCCTAAACACTGTCTGAAATACTTGCTTAACATCGGTGAAAACAGGTAAATACTCATACACGTACACAAAACTGATAAGGAAAAACAAATGGCAACTCCATATATGGCTTCTGTTCTCCAGCTGTTTCACAGTACTGAATATGTTAAAATTATAGCCAGTCTTAACATGAGACTCCTGAAATCACATAAAGAAGCAAAAGCAGCTAGTTTTATATGTTAGTTAGTCTGCATTGAAGGGTTAAACCCTAGTGTGAAACTTTATCGTAGGTTGTTGGATAAAGACAATCTCAGTCTGCCCCATTATTTCAATTAAAGTATTATTCCAGTAGTAGCTTAAAACTTTGTTTCTAATTCCTGTGGACAAAAGCACAAATTCACATATAACAACATTTTTTTTTAAAGAAACTTAGAGCTGTTGAAGAACAGAAGTCACGTAAAGTGATTTTCACATCTGAACATACCACACCAGAAGAGTGAAAAACACCACCACTTAAAATAGATTTAAAGTCTGACAGAAATTAACAGATTAATTAGTAACTAAATTTCTTTGGATTTTAGATAAGCATATATATATATACATACATACGCTCATACACACATGTGGATATTAAATATGGTATATAAAAATTTGCAGGTTTTGCTTCCCCTTCAGAGTTTTAAAATTTTCACTGTAACATGCTATTATCTTTATCTCTCTCCACAATTGTCCTGGTCCTGGTCAGGATGGGGTAATTTTTGCAGTAGCCAGGAGGGGGTATGGCTAGGACCTGGAGGTTATTCTATACCTTCTTGTGTCATTTTCTGGGGAAAGGCTCACTTCTGGGTCAGTGTAGTGTGGTGGAGGGAGTGCTGGGGTATTATTGTGGGGGGATTTGCCTTCTACATCAAACTGTTTCTTGTACTTCATCTACCTCTTTCTTGTACCTCTGTCATTAGAGCTGTTGTTGTTCCTGTTTTCTTATCTCATTGCTGTTTCCAGTAAAAATTGTTCTTATCTCTTGAGCTTTACCTTTTATGCCTCCAATTCTCCTCTCCAGCCTGCCGAGGAGAAGGGGAGTGATGGAGAAGCACATGGTTTGGAGCAGCACATGGTTACAGTGGGAACACGGAATTGGAGAATACCATTCCTAAAACACAACAGCCTTCTTTGGTGCCCAATGTGAGGCACCAAGGGCTGAGACAACAACAGTTCTGCCCAGACCGAGTTGAAAACAAATTTGATCTGATTTGATTTGTTGCATTAGGTCCAGATCTACTGGTCACAATGTTGCTTGGTCTGCTAGTGTGGGTATGGTACCTAACCCTGCACATGTTTCTGTATATCCACTATGTGCTCATAATGATGCTCTTTTTCAGAGCAGGGAGAGGGATTAGGATTGCTTTGTTGCTGTACTCTGGAGTATCAGTTTATGACATGGTAAGATAAAGGGCAATGAAGGTCATTTGGGATGTGTATTCAGTGTTTCCCTTCTATCCTTACTCAGGCACTAGCTCTGGGGGTCCATTAATAATCACACCCAGTCTGTGGGGGGAGATGGGGAAGATTATTTTCCCCAGCTTTTCACCCCCTTTTCCTCCTTCAGACCTATTAAAACAGCTTTTGAGAATTTTAAACTCCTGCTGGATGCTAAGGAAAGCATATTCTTGTTGCTAAGTCTGCTATGTCTCCTCAGTGCAGTCTATACCATATTTAGTCAGGACAGAGATTTCTAGGGAGGTCATTCAGAGATCTGCCCCAAGCGTGGATGGTCATGAGTAGCATAGAGTGTGGGAGAGAATGGGCCAGTTTTTGGGGAAATTCTCTGCTCCAATGGTTTGGCAGTTCACCTACACAAGCCTGATAAAGTGACAGCTCCAGAGAGGAGCAATACAGAAGATGTGTGTGCATCTACATGATGTACTTTTACAGCAAACTTCTCTACCCAGGCAGCGATGTCTTGCCACAGTTCAGTGGCCCAGATGGTTTCCTCCTGCACTCCCAATCACCCTTTTTACACTGCTGTAGCCACACCCACAGAGCATGTGCCGCCAGGCATGAGTCAGTGTAGAGGCCATTCCTCCTGTTCAGTGACACCTGAGGCCAGCTGGATGGCTTTCAGCTCTGCACCGTGACTTGATCCACCTTGTCCCTCAACAGCTTCTGCGACTCGCCACGTAGGACTCCACACATCATCCTTCCATTTTTGATGTATCCCTACAAAATGCTAGGAACCATCAGTGAGGAGAGCGTATCCTTAACTTTCTGGTAGCTAATTACATGGGAGGGTTGGAGTTGGGCTACCGAAGAACGCTGCAAGAACAGACAGGTGGATCTGGACTGGAACATAAGAGTGAATTATTTCTGACTTGGTGGGTCCACAACATCTCAGGTCATCAGGGAAGAGATGCAACATCCAGATGGACTTGTGATTGAGGAGTGGACACCATATCCCAGGTTAACCATGAAACATGCACTGCAATTGGTCAGGCTAAATGAGTAAAGGCTCTCTGGTGTGGAGGACAAAGGTTGAAGTAAAAATGTGAGGAGGCCTGGCAGTTAGATTACATCGCACTCCCACAAATCTCTCTAGGCAAATGCTGTGTGCTGACAACTGTGGAGACAACCACTGGATGGCTGGAGATGGACCCTGTGCCTCACATCACTGCCCAGAACACCATTCTGGAAAAGCAGCTCATGTGGTGACATAGCACCCCAAAACAACAGAGCTGGACAATGGGACTCATTTCAAAAATATCCTCATAGCATGATACTGAGTGGGTGCAACATATTCCCTATCCTGCACCAGTCTCTGGGAAACAGGAATGGTACAGTAGACTGCTAAAAACCACACTGAAAGCAATGGGTGGTGAGACCTTCAACACTGGTAAGACTACTCCCAGTTCTTCTGGTTTTATCACACCTTGTCATCTGGATCAGCACTGCCCCGAGTGCTATGTCTGTGAATGACCATAGGGGAAAATAATTTGTGCGTGTTGGTAAATTTTGATGGTCTTCTGAGATACTTCAGCATGTCCCACCTGACCTTCAGGGAAGAGGGCAATCATTTTTGTGTATCTTGTGCCCTTTGCCACTCATATATTTCAGCCCAAATCTGGCCAAGTTGTCCATCATGCTCAGCAGCCTTGCTAGAATCAAGTCAATTAAGTCTTTCACTAATTTTGTGAAATGAGGAAAGGAAGTGAGAAGCAGGTGTAGAAAGACTGCAAAAGCAGGTGCAAAGCAAGGCAAAAATGTGAGGAAGAGATGGCCTAAAGACCTGGGAGACCAGAACTAGGTAGAAGAGAGAGAACTAAGAGGCATGAGAAAGAAGACAGCATAAAAAGATTAAGTTTATGGCAAAACAGCAGCCGAGACCATGTCCAGTGAAGAATGCTCTTCAGAACCTAGCTGGAACCATGTGTGTAAGGTAAAGCCTACTTCTCTCTGCCAAATAACAGTGAAACACACTAGCTAAATTCCCAGTCTTTCCACTAGTGGAGATTGAGGCAGAGCTAAGACAGCTTACTATTCCTACAAACTACTGTCCTATCTCAGTCTGCAGGAGGTGGTTGCTCTAGAGGTTGCAGTTTGCTTATGTATCCTGGGGCTGTTAATCAGTGTTATAGAAATTCTGTTTTGCCCTATACTTTAAAACAAAAATGGAAGTAATTACACAAGGCAAATGTCACAAGAAAATAAAAAATTAAAAAACTAGGAAGTATCAGGATTAAAATTTTTTATCCCCTTGTGTGTATGCATGGGATGCTTTATGATTGAACAATCATACTATTTTTTTCAGTAGACCCATTTCATTAAATGTAGAAAGTTGAACTGTTTGGGTTTTTAGCAGTGCACACTGAATTTACTGTCTCAATTGAGACAGTACTTTCACCCAAGAGGTTGACTTTAGGACAATAATTCAGAAATGCGTAAGGTTTCAACTTCAGCCATTCCAATATGAATTCTTTGGAAAAGTCACTAAGTTTTGAGGTTTGCTCTGATTTGGAATAAAAAAAGAGTCCTAAGTTTGTACTTGAGAAAGGATAATGAGAAATTCTTCCAGCCCTTCCAGACACAGAGCCCTCACTTCTGTATTTCAGCTTCACTTTCAATCACAAGCTGCCACCACCACCACGTGTGACTCAGATCCTTTGACAGTGACAAAATCCCCATCATTCTCATCTGTGAAGGGGTGGTACAGGGCCAAAAAGATTATTAGTTTTAATGTTTCACACCAAGGAAGCAGCAGAAGAAAGTATAAGCTGCTGAACTAGATTTTTAATTGTGCAAGGCTGAAAGCATCATTACGTCTACATTCCCCTGCTTCCCTGACTGTATGGTGGCAACCCCACTTAGTCTTACTCTGGGAGTGGGGCAGCAGAACTGTTCTGAATGCAGGCTTGAAAATGCAGGAATAATTGCTGGGACCAAAAAGCCTGCTGCTTTTGTCACAAGGAATATATTATGAATGTAGAGGGACCTCTTCAGAAATTTACTCTAATAAGGTACTAGTCTTAGTAGGAAGAAAGGGAACAAAGGAAGACAGAAAAAAGGAATCTAAGACATGAGTACATTTAAAAGATCAGAATCTTAGCATCATGAGGTCAATATGCCCTTCAATATAATTGAGCTTATCATTGACAGTTCCCTCAACCTATCTCTGTTGTCACAGAGATCTGGTGCACTCAATATCTGCATAGGACGTGTTACCCTATTTAGCAGAGTATTTGCAGTTACTCAATGTAACAGAAATAGCACAAGTTAAAAAACACAGAGGCAACTGAATTGCATTCTGTGATTAAGTAAAGGTAAATCTCAATTTCTTTAAATGTACACATTCACTATACTAGTCAGGTTCCTACACATGGGAAGGTGGATTTGTCAGATATTTTGACAGGGCAAACTAAGCTTCTAGACAAAACAGCAGCTGCCACAATCACATTGTACTGAAGACCAGTCACAATAAAAAAGGAAACAGCTTTTGCTGATGTCTGAGCCTTTGATAAAATAAGTCCATCTGAAAACAGTTTGTTACTGAATGGCGTGTTCTCTATTTGCTCTGATTCTCATAGCTCAAGTGAAAAAAAATGGCCAATGGCATCACAACAACAACAAAATGGTAACACCTGGTGATGGGCTGTAGCAGACTCATAGTTTCTAAGATCTTTCTTAGATGAAAAATTGTATTTAAAAAAAAAAAAAGAGAATATTTTACAAAATTAAACATATTCAGAAGTTGTAATCATTGAGATCATGATCCAATAAAAGAATTATATCTGTAATATCTAAAATGTGGATTTTTTTTCTTAAGTCTGTCTGGTCAATAATTTTTTATTAAAAGAAGCCCCATACATAAATGAAATAGTTTGTATTTAAAAAATGTGATGTATTCTTAGAAGCTGGTTACAAATTTTCAGATGACATGGACACATCTGGTTGGGAGCCTGCAAGGTTTTGTCTGAGTCACCTTGAGGATGATGAATGCATGTAGATTCCCAGGCAGGACTCCAGCACCACTCCTGTGTGTAATCCTGGCATAGTTCAGTGCTCTGTACCTCTTTTAAGAAATTCACCTGTTGCAGGGCCCCTGGAAAATTAGGGGTATCAATTTTTTCAATAGCACTGCTGGTGAACTCTTCTTTGGGATCACAGCCCCTCAGAGATTTGGGTCATCTGCAGCACTGTAGCTCACAGGTCTGCCTCTGCTGGAACTGGAAACCAGTGGTTTCCAGGCTGACCCCAAGCCCTGGGGTGACCTTTCTGGCAGGTGACTGCAGCGTTATTTCCTACTTGCCTCAGGCTTTAGGATTTGTGCCCTCCAGAGTCAGCTTGGAGGCAGATGGTTCAGTGCTGCTCCAGGCACTCTGTGCTGGAGCTGAGTGTCAGAGTTCCAGGAGCCCTGGACAGGGATCAGGATGCAAGCAGGACTGCCAGAGCATCCCCAGCTCCCCCTTGGCTGAGTCAGGCAGATGTGGGGCCAGGCTGACTGACTCTGATGCTGGCTCACATTTGCTGCATGTGTGTCCTAGGAAGCTCTGGCTGCTCCTGACACTGGTGGCTCGGTCACTTCCACTGCACAGTGCCAGGTCCAGAAGAATGTGGCTCCCAGGACAGGACATCGTGTTTTGTGGTATGCAGACACACACGTGCATGTGTGCAGATGTGAAACACATCACAAGCTCCTATTAATGAGATTCCTACAGAAAATTATTAACTTTGATAGAAAGGTTAAGTTAAAACCAAGTTTCTAAAAAATCATAATCCCCTTTCAGATCATGCTAGAGAATACCAACTTTAAAAGAATACAGGAATTGCCACTGTAGAGAAGTGTACTCTAATGCACCAAACTAGAACAGAAAAGCAGCCTTGCTTCACCCTGAAAGAATGAATTAGAGGAAGAGGGCAGAACAACTTGGCTTGGAATGAGACTTCTTAAAAGGAATGGGCAGAACTTCAACAAGTGCACTAGAATATAGAATATATTAATACTAGCCATACAAAAGTGTCTGGTGCTGAATATTCACTAGGTCCCTTAACAGGAAATGTGGCAAGGAGTGGTATCCCTGGTTATTGTTTTTAATGTTTGTTTGTTTTTAATATTTCTAGTTACAGATTTTTCCTATTCAAATGCTTTCATACTTTAAATTATATTACTAATTTTTATACTGCTTTAATTAAGTTACTTACTTTTAATTTTGTTTACCTTCGGTCTCAACTATTTCCATTAGCATAATTATACCACTTATTATACTTTGAAACCGCACCTCATTTCTAGTTATTGTTAGTATTTTAAAGTAAAGGAGCCTCAACATTTCAACATCTCTCAGTCATTCTTTTTGTAGTCCTATCATAATTCTTGTATAATTCAGAATTGATTTCTGTATATATTTTGGAATTGAGAAACAAATTTTCAGATAACAACTTGCCAAACTATTCTTACAAAATTTATTTCATTTAGATTTACAGTTTTTCCATGAAAGCACTTTGATTATCATTAAATAAGGTTTTTCTGAACAGGGGATTTCAAGTGTTACACATTCTTCTTCTCCATCTCTCCTAGGTTATCACTGCAGAATGTCTTACAACATCAATGAAAGACAGTACAGGGTACAAAACACACCACTGCCATCCAGTACTACTTGTTCATGCTGAGAAACAAAGGTCAACACAATAAAGTGTTACTCATTCAACAACTGTCTCTATCATTAGTTACCTTAATCCCAGAACCAGTGTTAGTGCTTCATGCAGACCTGAGGTTAGTAAAAGACTAAAACTTTTAGAAGATGTAGTGGTCATTTCTCAATCAGTGTGAAATTCTTTTTAGTGTGAACAAGGGCAACAAGGAAAGTTTGCATACAATTTGGTTACAAGCTTAGTGCTCTAGTAAAAGTAAGAGGAACAAAGGGTTTTTTTGGACACTTTGTCTTACCTTCAGATAAACAGAACTGATATTTAATGATCTAAAAAGAGGGGAAATAAAATAATGAAATAATCATAAGGAGTTCAAGAAATGTCAGAACAGGAAGGCCTTGAGTTACTCATTTTCTTTTACCGATTTTCTTATTAGTAACAAAAAAATGCAGCATCCTCTTATAAAACAGGTATTTTATTGGAAAGTAAAAACTACCTTAAAACCAACTTTGTGACTAATAACATGGGAACAAAATCAAGATTGTAAGGCTCGGATTTTCTGTTTAAAACTATACATTCTAAACATGTAGTGAGCCTTGAAACTTTCTTATGAAGAAGGTGTACTTAAAAATGTTTCTACCTGAACCAGCCTAGATTACAGTACCAACGTTTCCAAGCAGATTTTATACAGGAGATTGTAATAAAATTTGCTGTAAAAATACAGGGTCTGGTTGCTATACTAAAGCATCTTGCCAAATCTTAATGCTAGGTATTGGCTCATGATGCCGGAAAACAGAATGAAGATTTAAAGTCAACTTTGCCCATGCTCTCAAGCATGTATGTTCTTCCCAAATAATGATAACTCTTCATGAAGTGCAAAGGTCTGAATTTTTAGTCTTTATAAGTAAGGATACTGCATTTCAAGTTTAAGATTTTATAAGAACTGTTTGTTACTTCTTACCCGTCTCTGAGGGCAAATGGTGATAAGGTGCTGGGCAGAAAACCTGAGCAGCAAAATCTTCAAATGTTGTAGGCTCTAGATGATGTTGAACAATTGTTTGAAGGTATCGTGCTCTCTCCTCATAACTGAGTTAGCCAAGAATTAAGGATGAATTTATATAATCTACTGTAACTGCTAAATATCATTGCCTAGTAATTCATAATTCTTGGTTTTGTTAAATACAGATGACGTATTTCAGTGTACACACTTATTTTTAATTATTTACATGACTGTGATATTGCCTGATGCATTGACAAAATATAAAGTATAAGATACACATGATTAATGTAAACCTTATGGTTCAACTGTATTCTTTTCATGTCTGATGCAGAACTTCCTGAAATTGTTTACAAAAAACAACAACTTAAGTACTCTCTTAAATAACTAATTTGCCTGTATTCCAGTCACAATTAAATACGAAAACATTTCAATTTTCAGGAGATGTAGCATGAAACATACCTTAGCATTAACAAAACAAGTTATTTTGCACTTTTCCATAATAAACTGCTTTCATAATCCCTAAACACACACACATTTAAGACAAATATAGTGAAATTTCAGTATTGGGAAAAACACCTTCTCAATTATGTTATTAAAACAAGCAAGAATATCTGTAAAGAATCCACAGGACCCTTAAATACTGGTTAACAATGTGTTGGCAGGGCACTGATAGTAAAATACTGTACTTCTTATTTTTTCCTGTGTTCTCCCCCTCCAATATTACTGACAAGAGACTGGTATCTTGAAGTGTTGTTGTTTTTGAAGAACCCTCTCCACGCTTCTTGTTCCAGCAGGCCTGATTGTGCTGTAAGCACAGAGAGAGCGAGAAAAAGAGAGAATATTTCTGCCGTTCATGAAAGCAACTATGGAAATGGCTGTCAAAATGTAGAGCAGCAGGCAGCAACATACAATTATCAAGAAAAACCACCATGCTGACTTCATGTTGTATAGTTGCTGAACTGAGAAATCAGTTAACCTTTTCTCACACAACTTTCAGAACCCTCCAGCTGGACTCAGTATACTGAATGAGGGAAACCTTCTCCAGCTATCTTACAGAATGAGCAGAAATTTTCCCTGACATTTACACTTGTGCCCACTTTTTTTTTTCATATTTTATTTGCAAATAGTGAGATAATTTTCTCCTTACATAGTTCTGTTTTCCAAAAAAATACCCCAAACAAATCAGCATGCTGTGGAGGAATGCACTCAAAATAGATTTCTTTAAAATTCTGGGGTCTTATTTCAGGTCTGCTGGTCTTTTTGGGGGAATCAGGGACAGTGAGGAAACTATCTTCCTGACTCAATTTCACCAGCTGTGAAATGGAGATAATGCTCACATTGCACATATTTTATAGTAATCCAAACATAAAAACTGTATTACACGTGATAAGCATTTTTAATTACTAGTGATAACATTTAAAATAATACTATTTTCAGTTATGAGAAGCAATAAAATTCCTGACACCCAGTGAAAGTTAGAAACAATAATCTTCGCATTATCTTACAAAACTGTACTTCTACAATTACAGAACTTTTCCTACAAATTTTTTGCTAGTTTTTCTGTACAATATTTACTGTAGATTTTACAATCTGTCTAAATATGAAAAAATACAGAGAATATATTATCTAGAAACAGGTTTCAGTGAACAGAATTATTTCTATAATATTTCCTTAGACTGTAACTTGATTACATAGTGAAACTGGGAAACAGTTTTCCCTCCAAAATCTGTACTCTGAATTCATTCTGAATCCAGACAGCTGAACCACAGCAGAAGCCTCAGTTTGGAGAAGCTAAAATAGAAGCACTGGGACAAGAGAAAATATAAAAATCTCCCATTGTAACAATTCTTAGGTTGGGGGATAAACACAGTATTGAGCCTGAACAGAGGACAGTAATATAGCACAGTTTTTAAGAGGCTATGTATAAGTGGTAGAGGATGAAACTGATGGTTGAAGTCTAAATAATACTACATATCTCACAACTTGTTGAAAAGCACTTTTTTTTTCATTGGGGGAGATTCACAGCTGCTGAATTTTCTGCAGTTAATAGAGTCCTTTGATTCACAGCAGTGCCCCTTGCACAAAAAATACTGGCCTTTGTGTATTACCAGAAACTAATTTTCTATTTGGCTGAAAAGGGAAAAATGGGGTTATTGCTTCTCCCTCCTACAGAGCTTTTCATTATGCCTGATGCACTCAACTTCTAAGCTCTTCTGAGAAAAAAAAAATAACTGAAGAGGCAAGAGGTAGAAAAATGAGCTTGTTAGCACATTAGAAGTGTAGTATCTTGGTGGGCCCTAGAAATTCCCAGTGGTGTGTTAACTTATCACTCTATGCATGCTGGCACTGATAGTCTCCCAATTGATCACTCTCTTTTCGCACCAAAGGTGCTGCCAGGAAGCAAAGGCTGAAGGCCCACAGGAGAGCAGGCTGCTATCAAAACAAGCTGTTTTTGAAAGTCTGCTTGAATGGGTAAAATGTTTCATGAAAAAGTAGGGTAGAGACACCTACTTGCTTTTAAAATGCTCTACTTTCAGAGGTCTCTAAAGGAAACCTTTTAGTTTATCCTATTATATCCAAAGCTTATACACAAATAAGGCAAAATGAAGGAAAGTTACTGCTTTGAACATGACAAGGACATTCTTTTTCTCTAATCTTGGTACAATCTCCTTACCAAATACAGAAGTCTTGAGATAGATGCTGATTGAGGACAATAATAATACTTTTGTTACAAAGTGAAGAGGGTATGCTTATATCAGTTCTACAAGTCAAATTCAAATGCACACTTAGTACACCAAGAGAAAAGTAATTCAGCTAGCTGGGCTGCTGCTCATCCTAACAATCCACAAAACCATTTGCAGATTGTTAAAAACATAACCCACCTCAAAAAACAAAAAAAAAAAAAATCTGAGGCAAACGCCAAATCCAAAACTTGCTCTACTCCACACTAAGAAATTACAGACTCTCCTCAGAAGAACTCTGTTTCTGTATTAGAGACTGCATAGATGAGATACTTTTATCTTCTAGTCATTTATATTTTAAGAACATCCTAGTAATTTTGAAACTCCAATTCTATTTGCTTTTGTGGCTAAGATAATCTAGTTCTACACTGTATTTGAATGCAACTGTCTGCAAGAGTGACCATAAACCCATGGTAGCTAATTTCTACATTACTTCTAATAGGCTAGACATTTATTTCTTTAAAACACTGCTCTCTAGGAAAGACTTATTAGCACTTACAGATTGAGTGGCACATACAAACTCAATGGCTACTAATAATAGGGCAATGCAAGCTGTATTCTTACTTGGAGTGGATGTTGCCACTGGCATCAGCAATTAAGATGGAATGGGAAGGATGCACAGACAAACCAATGGAGAAAGACTGGCACAGAGAGTGACAAAACACTTAAACAACAGCATTGTGAGCTGTTTGCTTCTGAAGAAGGTGCTAACTGGAACAAAACAGAATGAATAAAAATGAACGATATACATTAATTATGCTGGCATTCGCCCAAATATATGAGCTAAAAACTTGCAGATGCATAACAGCAAAAAGCACAACAAAAAAGATCTAATTATGTCAATATACTTTTTCAGAAGAACCAGTTCTGAAAAATAGAATCAGTACCAGAAGAAAATTAGGAATATCTTCATAGGTCACTCAGGTTGTAGTCACTCCAGCCAATATTTCATTTACATTAGGCTCCATTTTACTTATTCTCTAAATCTGTAATTATTTCTATTAATAATTATCTGAAAAGATCTATTATTTGAAAGTACTGTACTTTCCATTATTAGACCTGTTGATTTGCACTTGGGAACAAGCACTGAAAGCCTGGCTGTCAGATCACCTACTTATGCCCAATCTTTCTGAAAAACATAATTTCATGTCTTCACCTAATAGCTCTCCATCTCTGTTGATTGTATCACTTCCAAGCTTTAGATTCCTATGGCAAAATACATCTACATCTTGCAGACTCTTTATGCATAATCTAAGCTAAAACTTTTTCTAGCCATCTATCTGAACAAATTACCTAGGCTCTTACCTCACATCTCAGTTACTGCCATATCCTTTTCTCTGGCCTAAATAAATGCATTTTTAATCCTTTTATAATCTACTCAGAGCACTGCAGAATCCACTTTCTGGATATACTACTTAGATGGTGCATTCTCTCAGACACTGCCATCAGTCTGCCACTCCCTAGTGCAAATGTAGGCTACTAATTTGAACTTCATAGTCCATACCTATTCCATCCATTTTACCAAAACCACTCACCTCCAGTCAGTTAATGCAGTCACTCTCACTAATCTTGACCTTTTTGGAAAGGCACTTTTGTACTTTCTTCTATGTGGCTTATATGTAGCATCAGGTCTCCACAAGTGTCCACAAACAATTCCCCCCCAAAACTCTCCCTTCGTTATGATTATTGATTTTTTACAACTTACTGCATCATTCTGACTAAATATTTTCTTTCAATTCTTCTTCACACTTCTCAGTTTTACAGGTGGCTAAAATGCATTACAATAAATCTATCTAATATTTTTTAGTTAAGGAGTGGATGCATGATTACTGATACAGTCATTGATGGAATACCAATCCTAAAATGACATTAGCCTGAAGCTCGAAAAAATGAAGAAAAAAATAGTTTAAGCATGGAATAACATTCCCAAAAGTTTATTTAAGGATATAGCACTTCACAACTATGTAATATATCTATTACCAGAACAACTAAGTGCTAGATTCTCAAATGGGCTGGAGAAGAAATTCTACTGCCTGCTCCAAAAACCATTTGATAACAAATGTTTCATGAGCATGGACTGGAATCCAGGGACTCTCCTCTCCCAAGAAAGTATCATAATGATTAGATTATACAGATGAGCATGTATGTTTTCTGTGATGAAGAAGAAATCTCATTTTATGAGACAAAGAAAAATTTCAGCAGTGTCGAAGTAAGACACTTTTATGAAAGCTTTATTCATAAATCTTCCCACCTCATACTTGTGTATTTGCACATAAGTGCAGTATACATGGACAGTATACCATAATATAGCTGTATATTGGTATGTAGATGCTTGGTTCCAGAGC